GTGCCTAAGGAGAGTCACATGGAGAGAAAACATTCTCTCAGGCTTTCACAGAGAGCACATTGGCCAAGCAATGGCTGTGACTCATCCACATGACTGATACTGACAAAGATTCTACAAGCTGAGGTACAGGATCTCAGGAGAAATGCTGATGGGATTTCACTGACCTTATCAGACCCAAAAGCTGCAACTCTTGTGGCATAGGTCTTGCTTTACCTTGGTCTTAACCATCCAGCAGAAAATATAAAAACAAAGTATAAGAAGTAAAGCCATGCTGTTATGGTTAGCTGTAGGGGACTTAGATCAACAATATCTGACATTGCCATTGAAGTAGAAGACTCAATATTATTATGGACTACTGGACTCTTTTAGAATATTTTACTGAGTTTACACACCTATAATATTCAAATAACAGAACTAAACAAAAAAGGAGATACAGATGAATGTCCATTTTGTATCTGTGTATTCAAAATGGTTAGGATAGATATGTAGTTACTTTTTCTTAATGAATAGATGGATTTGTTCTAATAGTGTTTGTAAAGAGGATATCATGTCTGCATCTTATAAAGCAAATAACCACTAGGAAGAGAGTATGCAATGTGTTAATTATTGGAACTGTCCTACCTATTTGAATTAAAACTGTCTCAATGCTATTTGTTTCTCAATAAAATTGTGTGAAAAAAGAGAAAAGAAATACAATTTCCTAATGTCCAGGAAGCATAAACATATCCTTTGACTCATGTCGGTACTATTCCATTATGTAAACTTGTTCAGGAAATCTAAATTTTGCCATAGGAGTAAAAACTAAGTGAATATATGTAACAGAATATATGTACAGGCCTCTTCGTATATTAAATGCATTTATATTCCCTAAGTATACAAGCTCTGTAAAACAAATTTTAAGAGAATATCTTGCCATACTGGTATTCTAAGAAAAATTTGTGCAATGATAGAATTTTTCAAGCTTCTGTTTAAGTGAATATTACATAATTGTATCTGAGAGTTAGATATTCTTAAACATATCTACTACAGATCGTAATACTCTAAAACTTAAAAATCAGGCCTTAGCCACCTATCACACACTTCTGTAAATATTTGTATTACACTTTACAAGATATTTTGTTTTAATTTTTAAGTTGTTTATCTGATACAGGTCTTGCTACACAGCTCAGACTCTTAGTGATCCTCCTATCTCAGCCTCCCCAGCTCTGGGATCACAGGTGTGCTGCACCACACTCGTTTTCAGTGGCTGGGGTGGTGCACCCCGGGTTCCAGGGTTGGCACCGTATGTGGTACCGGGGATGAAACCCAGATCCTAGTGTGTGCCAGAAAAGCACTTAGACCACTGAGCTATCTCCCCAGCCACAAAGCACTTTATTTTAAAAGGTAAAACACTTAGATGAGACTTTGTGTCACTCAATATTTCGTAGCAGATAAATGCAACTGACTGACTAATTCCTTTATCCCAACAGGGCAAGGTATCATTTTAGAGGCAATAACAAGAATTTAGAGACTTTAGCATAATAAAGACTTCATAGTTATTCTGCTAAATGGTATGTTTGATCTTAATTTTAAATTTCCTTTATGAAACTTTACAACTTTTATCTGCTATGTTCTACAGGAATAGGTCTTCTATGAGACAAACTAAACAGTGGATTTTGCATTGTAGTTTTGGTGTGCTTCTCTAAAAGGTTCAGCACCACTGCTCTAACTGTTCCAAAATGTGTTCTATAACCTCTCTTAGTATTTTCCATTGTTTTATCTTAATGCAATTTCAAATACCCCTGAGGTAAAGATTTAATTTCTTATAGCTGTGCCTGTGAAGCAAAACTGGTAAGATATGTATTCTAGCAATGACAACTTGTTAATTTTGAGCTATACACTAAATCTTTGTCATCTGCTTCAGACTTTATGTTTATGTTATCTAGAACAAATCTTTACAAAGGATCTTTAGGTCTACAAAATAGAGACCAGATACAGGTTCCTTCTCTTATGCTTAAAAAAAAAGTAATGGCCAAATAGTTACAAAAAGATACTTTTTATTTGTTATATTTTCTCATCACTGTTATACTGAAATTTTTTAAATTGATGGCTTTCACAAGCAGGAAGTGCATCTACACTCTTAAATTCCACCTATTTTTATTAAGGTAAATACATCTAAATAAATACAGGTTAATATTAAATATAACAGATTTCTGCCAAATGCCACAAAACTCTACCATTATTCAGTCACTGTTCTTCACTATTCCACCTTTTATTTCTGGCCTAGGATTGCTTAACAAGCTTATAAAATCAAGATGAAACATCAATAACTTGCTAATGTCTTTGTCCCCCTTTCTAGATTATGAAAAATAATGGTATAATCAAACAACACAAACCATCAGCATTTCTTTCCTTTTGCTCAGTACTGGGGAGACTTTGTATCCCTGAGAAGGCAAGATCAAAGCTCCTCTTCAGACTAAACAGATTATTAAAAAATGCCCCCCTCTGAATACTTCAGTATGAAGGATAAAAGTATCAGGCAGGCAAAAATGGTAGGATGTGAAAACAAAATAGACCACAAGGAGAATCATAACTGAAATTGTCCTTGTAAGGACACTGCCCCTTCTCCTACAGAACTGCACTTAACCAAGCTCACCATATCAGCATTCTCTTTAGGTTCCTCTTGTTCTACACCTATCACAGCCAAAATTCTTTAGGAATATTCTATGGCCATAAATTGGCTTAACTGAGAAAATAACAATAACCTTACCCTACATTAAAGGAACAGTTTGATAATAAGCTTCTCTTTTGGAGGGTAACAACCTAAGATTGCAGACCAAAAATCAGAGAAAAAGAAGGCTTGCAAGGACAGCCAACATTTTGGCCCTAGCCTTGCAAGGTCAGTGAGGACTCAGGACATGGGAGAAATATACTGTAACATTATGTAATTCAGTTGTGTACCAAATTTTCTAATCAAGGAGATTATGAGGCCACAGAGAAATGTGATTTTTGATGTAGAGCATGCCCAAGGAGAGTCACATGGAGAGAAAATATTCTCGCAGGCTTTCACAGAGAGCAAATTGGTCAACCAACATCGGTGACTCATCCACATGGCTGACAGTCACAAAGGATCCACAAATTGTGGTATAGAGTTTCAGGTTAAATCATGAGGGGATCTGACTGACCTTATCAGATACAAAAGTTGCATTTCTTGTTATACAGGTCTTGCTTTATCTGATCTTAATCATCCAGCAGAAAAGTATGAAAATGATGTATAAAAAGAAAGCCACATTAAAAAAAAAAAAGAAAGCCACATTAATATGCTGAGCTGCAAAAAGCTCAAGTTAACACCTTTGGACATGGCCAGTCTTACAGAAGAACCACTACTATTATGGACTACTGGACTATATTGGGAAATT